TGAGTAATCAGTAATAGAAATCCCATTTAGGATGAATTGAGCAGATTTTATCCTCCCGCCCCCCTGGCGGGGCGGTGAATTTGGAGCATAGTATCCACCATTCATAACTTTGTTTTCATTCACTACAACACTCCCCACCCACATCCTCCACCCTACTCCTCAAACACATACCCACAGTGTGCCTCCCACCCACCTGCTTCTTCGCTTGCTATGACTCAGTCCTCTTCCAGCTGAGGATACATGAGGATAAAACCCTTGATGAAAAACAGCCAAGAATATCTTTCCCTTTTTTTTGTACTCACAGAAATGGAACGATTGGCAAGGCAGCGGCTGATGATGCCATACCCGGCCCTCATTAGAAACACTCACACAGACTCACGCATCGCCCTCGCACACTGAAAAGGGTGTGCTCCATGCTTTACCCAGTCAATTCAACCCTAAAAAGAAAAAATAAATAAAGTAAAAAACAAAATAAAATGGGGAAGGCGATGCCGAGTGTTTCAAAAATAGTCCCTGATTTCTCCAGATAGCAGCTTGTGTCATCACGACTCTGTGACATGGATGGATGATTTCTTAAAGGCAAACTTGCCAACTACATACACGCAGACGCAGGGCCTTGGATGACAAAGCCTTGAGGAATCAGAGCTGTCAATCAAACTAAATGAAGCAATTTGCACTTTTTTACCCCCCCTCCCCCCACCTCCGCCCCCGTCATCGTATTTAGAGAGTGCCGCGATCTATGTAACTCTCACCTTACAGCCAATCGGAAGCCATGTTCACCAATGCAAATCATGTCTGCGCCTCCCGGCAGTTCACTTGTCTCCGTGGTGCCGATTCTATTTTTGGGCTTCTGGGTCACTGAGACCTGACTTTGTTAATTATGCAAACCAAATGCCGCATAATGGATCACAATGTTGGCCACGTGACAAAGTCATACTTATGTAACAGCTGATCAATCAGAAGGACAAGGAACGGTCTGAACGGTTCTTTTTTTTTTTACAACAGTGAGCGAGGGAGCTTCCGGTCAAAGGTACAGGTCCACGCAATACACTGTAACCCCCCCCCCCCCCCCAAAAAAAAAAAAAAAAAAAAAAAAGGCGATTTCAGAAGGGCACTTTTAGTCCAGAGGAAAAAGGAAAAGGCATTCTAGCACCACCTAGTGGATTCATGCCTGAATGTCTCCACCTTTCGGTCAAGTAACACTCCACCAAAGTTGGATTTACTCGACTAACCTTTTGGGAAAACATGTACGTTTAGGAGTATTTTTACTACGCGGTACGTTTTACTTTCACTTGAGTGATTTTATTATGAACTATCGCTACTTTTACTCAGTAAAGTTTCTGGATTCTCTACCCGCTGTGAGTAACTTCACTGAATGAAGAACAAGCTCGTTTTAACCATAAATTCAACAGAAACTAAAAAGTTTCTGTTAGCTTCATCCGTTTATTTGGAAAAGATTTGATTTGGAAAAATATTTCTTTTGCCTGGTTTTGTTATTTTGTGATCATATAAATTATTTTAATTTCAGTCTTTAAAATAGCGTGAATTCAACATAACTTTATATTTTGGTCCATCTAATGATGTAAATTTTAAATATTAAATGATTTATATTTTGATCTGTTACTCAGTAAACTTTTATTTTTTACTTTTACTTGAGTAAAAACATGTTGCAGTAGTGCTACTCTTACATGGGTACAATTTTTGGGTACTCTACCCCCTTCAGGACCCAACATATTGGCAGGGCATAAACTGGTTCCTAAAACACAAATGATTTGAAAAGTGTGGTAAGAATTTAATTTCCTTTAAAAAACAATCTCTGCTTATTACAACATTTCGCCCATTCCTCTTGGGAAAATCAAAGCCCTCCTGGATGAGGAGCATCTTTAGGCTTTAAGGTTTAGGCAAAGACTCTCAATTGGATTTAGACCTGGGGTTTGACTAGGCCATTTCAACTACAGAGGTGCGATCCAGTTCCAATTTTTGGGATCACAATTCAGTTTATTCAATTTTTCAAAAATACATACGATGTAAAAATGTTAAAAAAAGAAATCCATTTTTAAAATAGATTTAAGTCGTACAGCTAACGGATGTTAGTTGTAGAGGATTTTATTTTGGGGTTTCGGAGTCCTTCCTCCTTTGAATAAAACTTTTCTTTTCATTTCACACCTATTCACTACTTTTTTGTGTCAGCTTATATTAACAGCTAACAACTCAGTCTTAGTCATTGCATCTCACTTTTTTAAAAGGGGTCGGGGGGGAGGAGAGGCTGGCTTGAAATAGATAAAACCACTTTTTTTCTCTCCTTCCAGTCCTGACGGAGGTTTGAAAATACTCACCTCTCTGCTATATATAGCCGGAACAAAAAAAGGAGGGGAAAGAATTGTTTCTGCGTTTATGAATGAGTGAAGTGGGAGTGGGACATGATGAGCCAGGTCACTCAGGTGTGTGATCATGCTAATGTTTACGGCTCTGACTCAATCCACTCCTGTTGTGTGTGTTAGCATGGGACTGGGAGAGGAGAGGCGCATCTCTGTGTGTGTGTATGTGTGTGTGTGTGTGTGTGTGTGTGTGTGTGTGTGTGTGTGTGTGTGTGTGTGTGTCTACACTGATTGACGTCACAGACGCCGACTCATTTCCATCTTGTCTCTTGCACAGAGAGAATAGATCCCCATCTGCACCCAGCCCTTCTCCCCTGCACACTTCCCATCCCTTTTTCCTCTTTCAGCCCCCCAACCTTCTCCTCTTCTTCTTCTCCTCTTCTTCTTCTTCTTTACCACTTACTCTGTCTGATCCTGCCTCTTCCCATTCGTTCTTGCAGCTTCCCACCCCTTTACAGAGAGTGCAGCCACCCCAGCAGATAAACAAGACAGAGAAACACAAACAGCTTAAGACAGCCAGACAGCAACATCCGCGTTATTATTAGAATCTGGCCAGAAAACATCTGCTCATTTCGAGCTCCACGGGTCTCACAGGTCCAGAGAGAGAGAGAGAGACAGAGGGGCGACATCTGACCCGAGCTTTCTCACACCGAATGTGACCTGTGCGTACCTGTCGGGCGACCCGTTCCTGGGCGCTTTGTCAGTTCGCTTTTTACGCATGAGCGAAAGAAAAAGAAGGAAAAAACGCGTGACGTCCTTTCCACAACAGTTGCTCATCCACATTCACACAGCAGCATCTCTGCTGACGACAGAGCGCGATTTAAATCACTTCCTCATAAAAGGTCATCTTCACTCTGTGCTCTGAAAAACACCCCAACTCCACCCCCCACTCACCCCCAACACACCCCCACCTTCTCGATGCGCACACCAGCGCGCGCGCAGACGCACTGTGTGCGGGCACGCACGAGTCCTTGACCAAAAACGACGTGGACGCGAATAAGATGAGTGCAAAAGAGAAAGACAGGGGGGCTGAAAACAATGCGTGGGACAAAGTTTTTTTTTTTTTTTTTTTTAATAAAAGCCAAAAAGTGTCTATTTCGGTCACCATCAGAGGACACAATGAGAGCGAGCACTGAGGGGGGTTCAGGCGCTGTTGGGATAAACACATTTCCCTGAGACCACACAGAGAAAAGAAAGAGAGCGGGTCCAGAATGCAGCAGCAGCAGGAGCGGTGGGTTTTGTTATGGTTGATGTATGGTTCTTTGCCCAGGGGGAGAGGAAACACGGGAGGGGTTGGGGGGGGAGGTGAGAATCTGTATAGGATGTGGCAATGAAAACACCAAATGTGCCAAAAACGTAATTAAAAAACCCTCACCAGGAAACAAGAAATCATATTTGTATCTTTTAGCTAAATTAATTAATTTACTAGCAATTATTTTTATTTTTCAATTGTTTATTATGTAATAAGCTAATGGAAGAGTCTCAACTAGTTTCTTTCTTTGTCTTTTTTTTATTAGGTATGTTGAAACTGTCAGAGCTACTGTGCCATGGTGTGTAAAGCAGTTTTTTGTTTTTTTTTTTTTTTTTTTTTTTTTTTTTTTTTTTGCACCTTTTCTTATTTTTAGCTAAATCACGCAATGAACAAAAGTCAAGAAAATCCCATTAGGACATCTGAACTTTAATTACGATTCACTATAATGGCAGGTGTCTACCCGACAATACTGACAATGAGAAGTGAATCAAAATGGGGTTCAACAAAGTATCAGCATAAGTCTTACAGGAAACGCTGGTGTTCGCTGGGGGTTGGGGAACACCACTGTTTGTGGTTAGGAAAATACACTCTAAAACACTTAAAAACACCAAACATGCCCTAATATGAATTAATACGCACAGTGGAAACTGTCCTAGCACTACTTCAGACGCTTCTTTATCTCATCTCTTAGCCAATAAGGGAAGTAAATGCCGTTCCTGGACTGGCTGCTTTGGAAACCTCAGCCAACAACATAACAAGTATCAATTTGCCTCGTATTTGAGCTTTAAAAGCTGATTTTTTTTTTCAAGATAATTTACATCATGTGTACATTTTCTGCAAATAATTTGGTCTATGCTCTACAAATAAATCCATTTTTAGGCAAAGGTCCACTGATTCAAACTTATTAAACTTGATAATGTAGCCTTTTTTTCTTTTCTTTTTATGTTTTTATCTTTTTCTCTGTTGTTTTAAAAGATTTGTTTTATAGTTAAATTTTACAGGATTTATGCTATTTTACAGTCTCAAAAAATATTATCTTGGTCTCATTTTTACATTCCCTAAACATGGATCTTTTTTAGAACCATTTTAATAAATCTTTTCCTTCTATTTTAGAAACCATATCTAATCGTTGCACAATGTAATTACTTCAAGACTGCGTGCTGTGGCACATCATAAATGTATTTTATTGATTTTCCTCCAGTATAACAAATACAACAATGCAGTAGTTGCGGTTCCTCTGTAAATTATCCACAACAGTTAATTTCCCCATAATCAATTTCTTCATTCCTGGTTTTTCTCCTCTGTTCGTGATCTGACTCACAGTTTTCTTTGTGTGCTGCGTATTTGATCCAACCATTTGAATAGGACTGTAGCAACAACAGTCCTATTCAAATGGACCGGCCCAAAATCTGGGCCGGTAGCAAACATTAGAGAGTTCTGGCGGCCTCTAGTGGACAGGTACAGGAGAAAAAAAAATACCTTATACAGCCTTCACAGTCCATCAAAGTGGGACGTACATATTGCTGTGTTTGAGTTGTGTTGAAATTATGTCACCGGAGTTGAGAGAAGCCTGCTGGCTACGAAAACAATGTGACTTGCCAGTTGTTTGGCGCTAACTAGCTACACAAGTCAATACCAGCACAATTCTCTGTATTTTATATGTTCAAGCACTAACGTGAGGTGTTCGCCAAAAAAAAAAAGAAAAGAAAAGAAAAGAAAAGAAAAGAAAAGAAAATGAAACAGACCACCAGCTCTGCTTAGTTTATAGTTTACATTGGTAACTTCCGCTACTCTGTTCCGCTCAGCGCCATTTCGGATAAAGAACTCGGGTTGCTCGGCAACGGATTTCCGACTGCTATGTGCGTTCTTGTTTTTGTTTTGTTTTTCTTTTCAACTGTCATAGAGATTTGTGTACTTCTTTAAGATTCATCCTTTAAAATAATAGTATACCGTGCTGCTATTGTTACTGTAATCAAGGTAATTGGTCTGTTTTACTGTACAGGTTAACCAGTCAGCCACAATGAGTTTAAATTATTTTATAGTTTATACTTAGTGATGAAATAAGTGAATAAATACAATTATTTAAAGTGTATTTAATATATTATTGTCAAATTTAATTATTTAAACAATAACATATTATTACTATCTATCTAAAGGGTAAAGTAGGTCTGTGTAGTGAAGGCTCACACCCAGGGTGCCATTCATGCAGGATCCACCACTGTGCAGCTGACAGGTTTGCTGGTCAGACCGACCGCTGTATGCTGGCAGACATAAAACCTGTCTGATTAGCTCTCTGATGCCTTATAGGAGGCAGAGCTGCATGTGGCTGCGTCTTAGTATCAAAGACGTTAATGAGTCAGAGGGCTGATCACAGGAGACGCGATGAATGAGCGGATCAGTGAGAGTGCACGGAGCTGAGGAACATCACAGGGACAGACGAGAGGAGGAGGTCCAGAAATGAGAGGTGGGCACAGATCTGAAACTTTCTCCCCGATCAATGACGTGTTGTATTTATTCATGCTTTGGTTCCCCTTCTCATCGCTGCGTTTTTATCGACAGATCCCGCACACAGAGCGCTGGATCCATAGACTGTATGATGGGCCCCCAATGCTAAATTGAACAGTGAATCGCATTGAACAGTCGGCGATGAGACGGAAGATTAAAGCTTGTTGCCAGACTCTTGTAAAAATCAATTAAAACTTACTTCAGATGTTGTCTGTCATGTTTCCGTTTTTCGATCTGTTTGACATTGTGATTTATTCAAGATAAAAATTCACCCCTTAAAAACAAACTTCCAGGTGCACATCCCGCTAGTGACGTCATAATATAAGGCATAACTGATCAGTTATTTTGAGTGGATCCCTGTAATTATCTCTTTATTTCCCCATTTCTATTTCCAAGTTCTAATCAGATTTTTCCCCTCATATTCAGGCTTTGTTCAGAAAATTGTGGAAAGAATTAGCAACAATGAAAGGTGTTTGTGAAGAGGGTCAGGCCAAATTGGTTCCATTAAAAGGATTTTAATGATAGGCAGACAAGATAAAATGCCTCAAAATCTTTGTCAAAAATTTTAGCCATCTAGTATAGAGCAGCAGTTTATCAAAAGACAGACTGCGGCATCAAGGGTGCACAAAGAAGTCTCATCGAAGGTCCTTCCTCCCAGCAGCTCTTAGACTTTAGAACATCACTGCGCCCAACAAAATCATTAGATGTTTACAACCCAGCTGATGTTTACACATCTCTGTTTGAACAGTTTTTTGGGGGGTTTTTTTGCCCTTCCTATGTGGCACCAAGTGTAAAATTTGTTTGCAAAAGATTTAGCAGTCTTTTTTAATATTTAGCTTACTTTTCTCACATTTAACCTACTTTCTTCACATTTAAAATGGAATATATTACCATTTCAATCTGGAAAGACTCAGACGAAGAAAAGGGAACAATTAAAAGGTTTAATGACAGCAATGAATAACAGTTCTTTGGCGCTCGGGCCCCGGCAGCTGATCTGAGCTGAGATTTGATGTGAACTCGATGAACATCCCGATAACCGATTAGGGATGCTCTCCCCCGGGGCCCGACACTGGTGGTGGAGGTCTGGAAAGGGTGCCATCCTGGAGAGCAGAAGGATGTGGGTGGAGAAGGGGAGGTGGTGGGTTGAACGCAGCTGGGAAGCGGCCGACAACTTGGGTGTGGATCCTTTTATGCTGAGCTTGATTGATGATTGGACACGCCAGGTGAGGTCCAGCGCTGAGGTCGGAGATGAGCATGACGCCGATGGACGAACGGAGGGGATGGAGTCTTCCAGGTTGAATTTTCGCTATTAGCTTCATGTTTACATTTCGCAAAATGTTGTCAAATCTAAATCTAATACACACGCACAGTTTGTAAATTTTTACTCATTCTACTCAGTTCCACGTCTTTTTATTCTACTTTTATTAACTGAACTTGTTATATTTGTTTGTAATAAAGTAATTTTGCCCTTCTTGTGCAGTCTCTTATTTCTAGCTTCTGTTTTTATATATTTAAAAAAATATCTTTGTGTCAATCTATCTTCTTCACTTGCCTGTCACTTTGCTGCTGGTACATGTGAATTTCCCCTGAAAGAAATATTCTATTCCATTCTATTCTATTCTATTCTATTCTATAGCCACCATGTTAGCAGGAATGCTAGCTGAATGCCAAGCAGAATAGAAAGGTGTTTCCCCTTCTTCTGTGTGCTTTTTAGCTAACTATTCGTGAAGTGCTGCAGTGTAAATCTGCACTTCATTGTCCAGTTGAGGTTTGTTGTCAGTGTAAATGTTTTAGAAGACAGAAAATTCTGTAATATCTCTAAAAGAGCTGAGAGGAAGCAAGATGTGAATTATATTCTATAATCTCTCAGTAACCAGTTTGAGGTTCTAATGCATCTGTAATCAAATGCAAGGCGCGGGAATCAAAACTCCACCAGAGAGCGTTTCAACCGCTCCGCGCATGCAGCTGCAAATGTGGAACAATGCTGCCATCTAGCGGCGGAAAGTTGCAACACTCCGGTTTTGCAAACACAAAGTATCGACAAAATGGTGCCCAGTGCTCGGCCATGACAATGCAGGTCAGAGGCGCTGCGTGTGCTGCACACAATAGCTGAAGAAAAAAATATGTCTTAAAAAACAAACAAACAAACAAACATGGAGTCAAGGTTTGTTAAAAACCTGTAAGAGACTCAGGGCTTAAAGAACACAAAGGCTTTGCTTTGAAGTGTAGACAAGAGGGCTTACTGCAGTCAGCTGCATTCCTGAAATCCTGTAAATAAAAAGATAAAAATAAAAAAATATGCATCACTTTGACATCACCATGACACGTGTGAATCCATGTGTATTTTCACCTGTGGGCAAAAGAATGAAAAGATGGGTGCGGACATGAGGGGAAAGAATGCGGCAAACGTACACACACACTCGCGCTCAGATCACACTGCGCTGTGAGTGCTGCAGGCAAATGCACACGCTGAAAAGGCTGTGCCTGCTCCATCAGGCCGTACATGCAAACGTCTCTGTGCAGAAACTAAATCTGGAGCTCCTTCCATGCCACGCTGCTAAATAAGCCTATGATCTTTTGCTCCGGGGTTGTCGGGGGGTGGGGAGGTGAATGTGGGCCACGGTGCTCATGCGTCAGTTCACCGAGGGTTTAACATGAGTGAGTGAACCCAGAGACGAAGGAGGGTAAAAAATGGACAAAGATGCCCGCCGCCATGCCCTCGTCTGAGCGGGTATGCAGGCTGAAAGTCAGAATTACGACAGGCTTCGCAGAAGGCCTCCGGTCAGTCGTCGAGTCTGCCGTCATTTACTGGGGCATTTCGGTAACTGGCGAAAAGACGAGGGATGAAGGGTGGATTTAAGCATTTAGTGATGGGGTTAGAGCAGCGGCACAGCTGTTGCTGCAAACCTGTGGCTGATTCAGTTGAAACCTCACAGTGTTTTATCTGTTTAACTAGACAAAGCAGGCTGGCTGGAGTCGGCCTCTCGCAGGGAAACAGTCGACGTTTCGTCGGGTTCCAACAACTCAAATATAAGTCTTCTTAAGACTTTATCAAGACTGATAGGAGTGACATTTAAGCCCTTTATCAGGATAGAAATGTACAAGATGAAATTACATAATTTATACAGTACTGCCAAGCATCCTTTTTTTTTGCACAGAACGCAAGTAGCATCACACAGGTTGGCAACAGATCTGAGCCAGTGGCAAAGACAAATGTTGCCATTAACCGATTGGCAATATTTTACACTTGCCAATGATAGATGGAATAAAGCTAGCAGGCTAGCAAGGATTTATTAGCTGCTAGTTAGTGGTAGCCTCAACCGCCTTGAGTCACAGAACCTAACGAAGACGTCTGTGTGCGACTCAAACTGTTGCCTGACAGAAAACTCAGAGAAAAATAAACCACACAGAACACACGAGGCTAAGGTTACATTTTGCCCTGCCACAACACAATTTAAGACCTTTCACTCACGTTTTTAAGGCCACCTTGCATATTTTCTAATGAATTTAAGACAATTTAAGGTCTTCATTTCAGATACATGAATTTAAGACGTTTTAAGGATGCAGACACCCTCTTTCTTTCCACAAATATGATCCAACATGTCAAAATAACTTGTCAAAGTAGTGATTTCTATTACATCTTGTTTTTTTTTTAAGTTCGACAACATAATGAACTACTGCTTAAGATGAATATTAATGAGAAAAACTTTTATTTACAGGGAGATACCAGGTTTTTTTGTTTTGCTTTTTTAAAAAAAAGCACACTGGAGACGATGATTCGAGGAAAATTTCCAGGACTTGTTTTTATTAAGAGAATTTCAGAACATAAGAGAGGGACCAGACACCTGCATTAGTTAGAGAAGGAATCCAAATTCAATAAAAACAAACAAAAGGAAAAGAAAAGAGAGAGAGAGAAAAAAAAGAGAAAACAACAAAAAACCCAAAAACCGAGTGTTTAGAAAAGCTGACGCGACAGCCCGGATGGAGCAGGAGCTGTATTTTTTTGATATTTTTTTTTGTTTTTTCAAAGTTTTTTTTTTTTAATCTTATTTAACACGCAGGGTCGTCTAAGGAGACGGGGGTCGGAGGCAATCGCTGTTTCCCGGAATGTTTCACTTGTTCGTCTTCCTCTTTCTTATGGACAACACGCTTAAACACACCTTTTTTTTGTTTTTCTTCGTTTGTTTGTTTAAAACACAGTTTAAGTGAAATAAAAGAGAAAAGAAACAAGACCATAAAACAAAAGGGGAAAAAAAAAGAAAAAAAAACAGAAGAGGGGAGAGAGAGAGAGGGAGAAGGGGGAACTCACTGCACATTTAGAGGTCTAAAAGAATCACCCACATGAACATGGCTGAACCGTTAATAAAAGATGGACAAAGGCTGATCTGTCGGGAGGGGGGCGGGTGGGTGTGGGTAGTCTAATTTGTGGGACAGAGCAGGGGAAGGAGAGAGAGAAAGAGAGTGAAAGAAAGAGAGACAGAGAGAGAGAGAGAGAGAGAGAGAGAGAGAGAGAGATTGTGGGGTCGGAGGGGAAATAAACACAGTAATACACAACTCACGACATTAGCCAATCCGGCAAAAAGGGACACGCTTTCTACACCAAACAAGCCTTCAACAATCATGAAATGCCATTTAAAAAAGATTTTAGTGTGGTTTTTTTTTCTTTATTCCTTGCCTGCAGACACTTGATATGACCACTGCAAGTCTGCAAGGGCGCTCCATAATCAGCTTCGCTTTTTTGTGCTAAAAATCTGTACGGATACTTATAAAATCATTGATAAAAATATTCCTCTGTTAACAATACGCCTCGGAGGGGGGAAACCATGTGAGAGACTTGAGGAAGGGGTAAGGGGGGGGAGAGGGGGGAGAAGAAGGGGAGGTGGATGTAGAGTAGGAGGAGGAATCTGGAGGGGTCGGAGGTCAGGGGAGAAGGTTGGGGGGGGGCAGTGGTGCTACTCGGACTTGGCCTCCTCCTTGGCCTCCTCGGGGGCTGCCTCCACCTGTGGGGGGGGTTCAGAGGGGAAAAACGTCAGCTGGGCGGGTTCGGTGGGGCGTTACGCTACGCGGTCGCCGCCTCACCTCGTTGGTCTTGGCCTCTCCATTCTCAGAGTGGTTCTCCTCGTTGGCCTCTGCCTCGGCGTTCTCCTTTGCCTTCTTGGTCTTCTTGTCCTCCTTCTTGTCGTTCACCGCCTTTTCTTTCTGCCGAAGAGAGAACAAGAAGAAAACAAAAAAACAAACCTGAGCCGACAGAAGGAGAAAACGGAGTCTTATAAGAAGCGGTTTGGCCCAAACGGGTGACTCCGCCCCCTTACCTTTGCCGCCTTCTTCACCTTTGGCTCCGGCTTGGGAGGAGCTGGTTTCTGGGGATGCAAACGGCGCCCGGTTACTCTTGGCAACGCTTTATTTTGAACATTTACTGCCCCCCCCACCCATCTTTCTGTTGTGTTTCTGAATCCAAACTTTTCTTAATGCTGGAAGTTTAACGACCAGAAAAAAGTTTTAGAGCAAAAACGCGACTGAATGCTTCTTTTCCTTTTCTTTAATTCATGTTTAATAACTTTGAAATGCATATAAAGCAAGTCACTAAACTTTTTATGCTTTCAAAGCTTGTTTTCTAATTATGTTGTACTTTTACCATCTCAAAGACGATTCCCAAGTTTTAAACAGTTCCTCGCGCTGCAGGTACGCATTTAAAAGTTGCTGTTAAACTTTAATGTTAAAAAGTTTGCTTGTATGTTTATTTTTCAGTTTTCGAAGTCAGAAAATGGATATACGTTTCTTTTTCACTCACTTGATAGACTTTTCTTGGTAACTCTAACTGTTTGATGAATTAGTCAGGATTTTTCACGCCAATAATAATCATTTTTAAATTTCTCAGCAGATCTGACTTCCTGAATTTGACTAAATCTGACGATTTGCTCCTCTAATAAGAGAACGATTTAAATGATCACTTCCATTTACACATAACGCCTCACGTTCCTGAACTTTTTTTATTTTTATCGATCTCACTTATTTATAGCCAATTGATCGTTTGGTTCCTACTACTAAAGTTTATTTTGTTTCCTAATCCTTGTTTTAGCTACATAATGTGAAAGCAGTATGTTCAGGACAAATTCCATAGTTTTGTCATTAAACAAATCACTTTTATTTGTTTCATGTTGACATGATTCCGGTTTAAAAAGCAACCAAGAATAAAATAATAGTCAGATGCCTCATTTTACTCCCTGAGAGGAGTCATGTGATATTTATTGAAAGTTACAAATATTCCGGTATCCAGAAGGACTGCGTGATGTTTAGCGTGTTCGTTAATGAAGTTAGTCAAACTAATTGTGATCAGTGAGAGATTCTTACCGCCGATAACCGAGCTGATCTCCTCTGGGGCTGAAACAGAAAAGATTACGGTCAAGTTTGGATAAAATGTGGCAGCTGGTGGGAAAACACATTTAAATTCAACCGAACACAGAAAGCATGTCCGGTAAACTGGTTGCGTTGTAATGAAACGGCACCAGAGGATACCGCTCCGCTCACCTCCTCCTTATCTCCTCCTTCTGTTCCCTGTGCCTGAAAAACAAAACAAAAACAACTCAAAATGAGGAAATAAATCAGAAATAACATCCCTGAGCTTAATATTCGGTCTATTACTGTAAGTAGGCAGCTTCCGTGTGGTTCTGGCACACATTCCGATAAGTCGCAAACCCCTTGGAAAAACTTTTCAATTTCACATGAAAACTAAAATAAGAAATCCGAATCCAGGTGGATTTAATGCATTGTGGGCTTAAAATATGGCCATGATGCGTAGATTGAGGAACGGAGTGCAGGAGCCGCGCCATGCGGCTCCCTGGAGCCACATTTTGAGGGTCCAGGCCCCGCTTTTCCCCCGCCTCACTCCCCCTCCGGCTCTTTCATTCAATGCATGCAGCTCGGATTTGAACGCTGGCGCGGGAGTCTTTCAGGAGGGGGGAGGGACCTGCTGGGGGGCGCTCGCGGGCTCCACCCGGCGGCAGAGGCGCGCCACTGCAGCCATTTGGGACTACGAACAAAGAGAGAAAATATATAATTTTACCGAAACGCCGCGGCGAATGTCCGATTTCGCGGTCAAAACGCAAAGCGGGGGCTCCGGGGCATTTTCTAGCGCTACTTCCCGGCGGTTCGGTGGGCCCGCGGCGATAAGCGAAGCGTTTTGTTCTCGGTAGGTCGGGCGACGAAGGTGGAAGAGAGCTGCAAAGCATGGCTGCTGCTTGTGCTTTAACTGCATGGAGACCGAGAGAGACTTCTGACTCCCCCAAAGGACAGCGGCTCGCGCACTCCACACGCGCTTTAAAGGCCGTGTTCGAGCGGGAAAATATTCATTCCACCACACAAAAAATGTACATTATATGTAGAAAGCAGGCAAAAATCCCCAGCGACGGAGAACGGTTATACGTTGCGTTATAATTAAGTAATGTCTCTGAGGGATGTCTTCACAATCGTTTGCATTGGATTAATGACTGATTTGCCCCTCCAAATATTTTTATTATTTCGAGAATACGTACCTTTCTCTTGGGCATGTTGATCTCTTGGAGGTTTCCTTACGAATACAACTAAAAACTGGTTTTCTTAGTGGGTTCAGTGCATGTGAAGACGAGTGTCTCCCCTTATGCTCGGCAGTGTAGTAAACACACTGGAACAGAGAGGCGAGTGGTTGAATGGGGGGAGGGGTGCGGCTAAAGCCGTGATTGATAGGCTCTCGGCCAATCAGGTGACGCCATTCGGGGCCGCAGAACACTTGGAATTTTGGAGCCGGTGATGTTCCGAGGTCTGCGCGAATGGCTTCTTCTTCACCGAGGCAGAGGATGGGAGGAAGCCGCCGCAAGAATGGAGGGGCTTTCTTTGCCTTCGAGGACATGTTTGCCTTCACACACCGTATGACTGCGAAGTGGAGGCCTTGCTCGTACACACGCGCATACACACGCACAGACGCGCGCGCAAGGCAGGCCCTGACGGCAAAAAGCAGGCCACATTGCCCCGGTGTTTAAAGCTGTGCATCCCCCGCTAGAGAGTGTGAAAGCGGAAGCTAACATCTGAGAGATTTCTCCATAAATCCCGTCTGTGTTTCTGTCCAATATGGCGCCCACTGTTCTACGACATATTTTTTTTTTTTATCTTCTCAGTTGGCTTTCCTAAATTTGTTACAGGCTTCTTCTATAGAAGGTCAAGAGTGCCACAATCCAAAGAATGAATAAACGATTTCAGCTAATAGTTATATAATGGTTGTTTAAATAAAACTTTAGTATGTACATTAAATAAATGCAAATGTATTTATAATTATTTAATAGTGTCAGCAAGTTATTAAATACAATGTTTATTTTTTATCAGATTTTTTTTGCGTTTCTATATTGTTATATTTGTCATGGTGGTGCTAAACATACCAACAGTAAAACAAAAAAAGTTTTCTTAGAAGGAAATATATATTTATCCTAAATTTGTCTTAGGCTCTTTTATATGGAAGCACATAAGAACCACAATCCAACAAATTTAATAAACACTATAAATGAAAATTTTTATATTGGTTGTTTAAATAAAACTTTAATATGTACATTAAATAAATACAAATGTGTCAGCAAGTTATTAGATACAATGTTTATTTTTTTATCAGATTTTTTGTGTTTCTGTACTGCTATATTTGTCATGATTGTGCTAAACATACTTAGAATGAAATATTCCAGTTATCCTAAATTTGTCTTAGGCTCCTTTTATGGAGGGTCAAAGCTGCCACATATAAAATAAATAAAATAAACTCTTCAAAACTTATACACAAGTTGTTTAAATAAAACTGTAACATGCCCATTAAATAAAGGAAAATGTGAATGTGTATATACTTATCTAAAAGTGAAAGTAATTTCTTAGCTACAGTGTTTTTTAATCAAGGTTTTTTGTTTTCATTAGTGTTTTAAATGCAGTATTTGTCATCATTATGCTAAACATACAAATAGTGGCAAAAGTTTTCTTAGAGTGAAATATATAGTCAGGCTGTTGCAAATATATTTTAGGCTCCCTCTATAGAGGGCCAAAAGTGCCACAATCCAAAAAATTTAATAAACTGTTTACATCAATATTTATAATGGTAGTTTAAATAAAACTGTAACACATCTATTAAATACATACAAATATGTTTATAATTTTTTTAATAGAGTCAATAATTTATTAGATACCATGTTTTTTGCAGATATTTTTGTGTTCCTATATTGTTTTAATTGCAGTATTTGTCACCACTGTGCCAAGCATACTAACGGTAGCAAAACCTTAAAGTGCTTAAAGCAAAAAAAAAAAAAAAAAAAATACACAACAACTTTGTTTTACTGTTTGTAAACGCATGTAATAAATGTATAAAAGGCTCAAGTGGAGTATCTACCCTTAATGCATAGCGGTTGTCAGTTTTGGACTGTAGCCTTTATGATTAATCTTTTATGAGATGTTTCAGTCAGGTGACTGATTATAAAACTATCTCTAGATAGTTACTCTACCTGATGATATATGCCAATTGACTTCCAACCTGAACAATCTGCTCTATTTAAATTTTTAATATAGAGAGTCAAATAGAAAACATTTAGATGCTAACATTGAAAAGAACAAAGTTTGATATTTTTTCTCCTTTTTTCCAAATGTTTTGTTCTGACAGCTAACCAGCATCATGGGTCCGTCTGCTTTACTATGTCAGGCAGACTTGCTTAGCAAAATGAGGCAAATTGGACATTCTCCTTTTTTGAAATATATTTTATTAATTTAATGGCATAATAGATGACATCTGGTTTCAAGCTGGGCTGCATGGTGGAAGCATTGGTAGCACTGTTGCCTTGTAGCATGAAGGTCCTCACCTCAAATCCTGGTCTTTCAGCACAGAATGTGTGCTACTCAGTGAAGATGTTGTGCATGGACACATTTAGGAGAGGTGCTCACACTTCTGAGAAGTTTTAAATTATAATGTTGTTTTTTACACTGCAGGTTGAAGTGAGCGCTGCTCGCTCTGAACTTCTGCTCAGGGGTGAACAAAAGACCTATATTGTCTTTTCCAGGGTCAAACTGAATATTTCTTGCAGAAGGAACTGTAGGACTTTATTTTATTTTATTTTTACCTCTCTGAAGTGCTCAGTGATTTCTTTGGGTGTGAGCGCATGTGGGTAGCAGAAATAAAGTCCAGCTGACGCACACATACGAACAGTTTTTGTTGCCCCTGTGTGTGTTGGTCATGTAGATCTGAGTCTCTCTAACTTGACTAGTCTGTATTCAGTTTTGGCTCCGTTTGGTGTTATCTCTAAGAATATAAAATGAGGGCTCAGGACCCTCAAAATTAAAATATTAAATTGAAATATTTTGGAACTCCAATTTTTCTGTTCTCATCCCATTCAGGCCAAAAGATGTCTCACGGCATCTCAAGAGAGAACGACACAGAGCGCACAGCATGATGTCTTGTTAGTGTACTCGTTGTACATTAGCATGTATTTGTGCTTTTTTTAAATTTTATTATCTGTTATACTTTATTAACATGAGTGTCTTGGTGTAACTAACTCTTTACTACACTACATTTTTATTAAATTAATTTTTGTATTTTTAGTTGATAAGCTATTCTTCTTGTCTAATTAAATTGGAAATTTGATGTAATGCCATGCTAACATCACACATAACAGTTAGATATGCGTTCTGTATGTTTAATTTAATGTGATGAATACAAACCTAGTGAGCTGTGCTCACACTCAATTATGTGTTTTGTAAATTATTCAAAAATGTAAATAATTATCACTGCAATTAACCAAAAATGTAATACTTACCTATTTTTTCATTGTTTTAATTTTTTATACGTATTTTAAAATGATAGACATGGATACATCTTTGTTAGACAAATCATTTAGTTGTTGGAGTACTGCATTTTGACACCAGGAAATAAAAAAAAACTATATACTGTATGTAAAATTAAGAAAAATACTCATGTATGATAGGTATGGTATCAATGTAAAATGAGAATGTATTTTTATTTCTTTATTTAAAATATGTATGTTTAGTTCTATTGAAATGATCCAATATATTGATTTTAACTTCAGTCATTTATTGATGTACTAAATTGTGACACTTCTGGCCCTCCATACATTCCCGCAGCTGAGGCCTGCAGGGGGCCTGCAAAGCCCGTCTAATGAAAAGTGGCTGCCTCCACAAGCTGCACTGCTACACAAAGACGGCTTAAAAAAAATCACAGCATATATCCTCACTTTTTATTCACGATCCACGCGCGTGCACGCCGGAGCATTCTCTGACACGCGCCGCAGGGCTCAAGAAAAAAAAAATGGAGTCTGGCTCAGACAAAGGGCTCCACGCTTAAATATTCTCAGACAACATAACCTCGAAGTAATGCCATCTTGACAGCCCTATCGCCCTTTGCACGTGCGCGTTTGCGCGTGCGTGCTCCTCGAGCTCGACGGAGAGAGGGAGGCTTACAGAGAGAGAGAGAGAGAGAGAGAGAGAAAGAGAAATAGAGAGAGAGAAGGGGCGGAGAACTGGAGGAGGAGGAATGCCAAGCTCCATCCAGAGCTAAGAGCAGAAGCATTTGCGCAGATAGTCTGCGCTGCAAGAACACTCTCTCGGTTTCCCAGCCTTGGAAGTTTCCAGTTTAAAAAAAAAAAATAAATAATTATCATTATTGTTATTGCGTATCTGCTGCTCCATCAGCCTGCGACGGAGCACGCATCGACAGCAGCCAGCCTGTGATAATAGACTGCATCAGGGATATAAGATGGTGATCAAAGTGTACATAGCAACGTCCTCCGGATCCACCTCGGTAAGGGATACAACAATGGCATGACTTGTTTGCTGGAGGTTTGTTGTTTTTTTTCTTTAAGCATGATTTATTCAGAAGATCCTGGGATTTTTTTTTTTTTCTGGAGGGGTTATGTGAACTTTGATTGGATTGGTTTCCACCAGACTGACATTTTTCTGTTTAAAGAATCATCTGAATCATCAGTAAAGATTTTGACTGCTTTCTTCTAGAAGTTTAGGGCAATCACATGGGGGGGCTCGACTCTTGATTTTTGCTAACTTTGCCACAGAGGCAGAAACATAGAGGAAGTGCATATGGCATGACAAGACCTCACTTCTCTCTAAGCTGCGGTTTGTAACAGTCACAGCTTCCGGATGTGACAATTCAGACCTTTTTATTCAGCTGAAACGCCCCAAATGACAAGCAAAACAATCACTTAAAAAAACAAACAAAAAAAAACAACTGGAAATCAATAACGGTCTTGAGATTCAGCGCCGTGTCACCTGATGCCAGCCAGCGCTGCTTGGGTCTGGCTCGCTCCAGAAAGCAGAGAGGTTAGACGTTCTCTTCAGGGTTGTGCAGCATTGAGGAGTGTTTGCTTCGGATTTGCAACTTTCTTTCAGAGTGGATTGGAATGATGGTGATGCAATTCTCCAGGGCCTCACTTTCAGAGTAGCAGCTGCAGCCTAGGAGAAGAGTTTAGGACTTTCTGAAAACCACAACTTCTTCTTGTCCTCATTACGTACTAGTTTACTGTTGAATTCTGACAAAGATGTGTTACTTCTAACGCACATCGACCACAAATGTTGCGTTAAAGGTACTTTGAAAAGGTTTAGAGTCTGGGGGTGGAGGCTCACCTCTACAGCTGGAGAATGACCCTAAACATACAGCCAGAGCTACAGTGGAATGGTTTAGATTGAGGCATATTCATGGGTTAGGACGGCGTAAAACTCCTAACCTACATCCAAATGAGAACTTGCAGTAGGATAAGAAACAATCAATGAAATTTTATGTTGACTCTACAACCAATATGTCTAAATTTGAACTATTTTGAAAGGCAACAACTTTCACTGTTGGTGGAGATAAATCCCCTGTAAAAAAAAAAAAGAAGTTTGATTCAGGTGGCTGAATACCAATGCACAGCTCAGGCAAATTCTAGTTTATAATTCAGTCTTTGAAGGACGTATAATTTCCCTTCCTCTTCGAAAGTATGTCCCTACTTCATATTATGGTATCTGTAAAGTCCTAAAAATACACCCAGGTTTGTGGTCCAAACAGACAAACCCATCAAACACAGAGCCTCTTTCATTTGGACTGTCCTGGGAGGCTATTACAGCAAATGATATTTGCATTGGCTCTACGGATAAGGAGAATTGCAGGACCGGAACTTCCTGTGGAGTCAGGGTGGGCAGAGTTTGGAGTCCAGATTGCCTTCAGTATGCTGTTGTAAGTCTGGGCTGCAGCATTTCCTCTCATTGATCCGTCTACAGTACCGTCTGCTGGAGCAAGTGGACGACCTTATGCTCTGTGTGCACAAACATACACACACACCCTGCACTGCTTGATGGGTCAAACGGTATCATAGCGTTACTTCCATCTAGTTATCTTGACCTGTTCTGCCATGAAACTACATTCTTGCTGATTTAGTCAAAGGTTTGTATGTTTGACCAAATGCATGACTGAAAATGTATTTTATACCATCTCTTTCCTGTGGTGCACTCTGTGTCACAGAACGACGGAACAGTTAAGAGCAAGGAGATGAGTAGGAGTATTTCCAAAATACCATCTTGAGCCTATGCTTTGCGTGTAAACTCTTCCAATCGTCGTAGTTCTCACCGACGGGTTTTAATCTCCATAACAAGTGGCGGCTTTCTTCCTGTTTTCTTCTATATGAATTTAAAGGGATTGGTGGAATGATCAGATGGTTCTGGCTACCACTGATACACCTGAAGCTCTTAATCCATGATTAGAACTGAAGACGCCTTTTGAGTCAGAGGTGAGGCAAGAGAAGAAGTCCATCTGCTTTGTGTTTAGGTACTTAGGATTGCCGTGTCCTCGATGACTAAGAACCTACAACAGCGTAAGGCATGTTAAAATTAGAGATGCACCTTTTAGAGAGGTCCAGACCTTTAGCTTTTGTCATATTTTTTGATTGATTATCACAGAGATTAAGCTTATTTTTATAGTTGGAAGACTTTTGTTACAGGTGCATTCCTCATGTCTGAAATATTGCCCATGACTCAGTCGTAAGTCAAACTCACTATGGGCCACTTATTTTGGAAGATAGCCAAGTGTCGCATGCCTTTTTTGGATGTTTGATAGACTCTCACATCTCTGCTTTTGTCTCTATTCCCTGTTGCAACCCAAAGATGAAAAAGTTGTAGGACGTAATAAAGGCAAGAGGTGAGGGGAAATCTTGATATGCGTTAGTCCCATTTAGTATACGACTTTCCAACCTGAGGAGAACGTCCTTTGTTGTATTTCCAGCTACAGTTTGAATCACTTCAGGAAGTACGTTGCCTTGTCTTCTAGGAAGTTCTCTAGGAAGTTCTTCCAGTGCTTCTTCCAAAGGAGTATATAAAAATGAGTTCACAAAAGGTACAGCTTATTAGGTCACAATGCCAGCAGTCTTCCTGGAATAGCACAGGCATTATCTTTTGGATATTACCCTGCATTCTCGAGGTCACGATGAGGTTGCATTTGGAAAGCAAAAGGTGTAGTTTTACCCAAATCTACAGATGCAAATGTTCTGCACACCTGCAAGAGTCCTACTAGTCTGTAGACAAACAAGGGCAACCTGAAAGGGAAATTTTACTGAAGGAACAAAGCAAAACATTAGCCACAACTAAGGAACCTTTCCTGCTCTTATTTCCATTTATGCTCAAAAGTCGCACAGTTGAACTGCTTCCTCATTGCCTCAATAAATGAGCAATATAACTCATGAACATGTTCACGAGTACCTTGTCGTACCTTGCTTGTGTCAGGTACGCCACACTTGGCGCCCTGTTGGTTCTAAATTAGCTTTGTGATTAATGACTGCTGTGGCTAGCCAGGCAGTTTGTGGTAGAAACTATTCCTTTTTATCGTACCTTTGGGTAGTGGCAGGGAACCCGTCCAGGGTGTCGACGTAAGACCCTCTTGTGGCAGTGCTGTAAATGCTGACTGAGCTGAGGACTGGGTGGGGGCGGCTACCAGTCACCACATTCCAGTAAGTGGTTGTTTATGGTGGAAATCAGGCTACATCTAATTGCAACAAACCTTTATCCCTTAGAAACACATGGGGCCGGGGTCATTTCTTGTTTCCTTTAGCTCAGAGGGCAGGTTTAAAAATTGGGCCTGTGTTGGATTAGAAAGGTCATTGAGTCTTATCTTTATGGCACGGTGTTTCAGTGTGTTTTCTTTTCTACCTGATTGAACCAAACACAAACCGACGCTGGTTCTGGGTCAGCAGAAAAATCAGTCTCAGCCTCATTGATCTAAGCCCGCGTTGTTGGATACAGTTCATCCAATCAACGGTCGCTATTGTCTAGCAGCTGTCTACGCCGTGAGTTAACAGCTGACCTTTTTCTGGGATTGATCAGGCCTGGATCTGATCTCACGCCGGACCAAAGCTCCCTGGGGGAGATGTGGTGGAATGCAAACCACGGTGCATGATGCTGCACATTCCACGTCCTACACCTTTAGATGAGCACAGTCCTCCTTAAAAATGTTAAATATCTGCAGCAATGTCAGACGGGTCCAACTTTTCCATATCCAGAAATAAACAACGGATTTTGTCTGTATTGGATCTGTTGAAGAAATATTAGCGGATCAGAATATTTTGATGTGAAATGAAGGGAATGTTGATCCAAAACTGTATCTTAATATATCTTGTTATATCCTGGGGAATAATTGTGTTTGTCGTGTGAAAACGCATGCAGTTCAAAAGGCAATCAGGGTTATCTTGGTACGATGAAATCCTGTTAGAAAGTTTTCTGAGAAAAACTTATGCACGGTATTTTCCCTGTAGTAGTTCTATTAATTTACTAGTGGTGGGACTCGGTTGAAATTTCTAACAGAGTTAATTGCCGGGTCTGTAATTAATAATCATTTTAATCAAACACCATACATTGACAAAATACGCAATGTTTTCAATTTAAAAACCCTCTTTTCTGTCAAATTATTGAACATATAGACATATCAGCTCAACACCGAAACATTTACTGTTTTTAATTTGTTATTTAGGTCATTCAACCCTCAGATTAGTGCAAAAATGGTACTATACCCATCCAGCTTTCAAATGTATCAGGAACTCCTGATTATTTATGTCACTTTTTAAAAAGAAAAGTCTTTAGATATGTGGAGTGTGGATGCTGACGTTAGCGTTATGTCTGTGCTGATGCTACATGTTTAGCATCAAGATGCTATTTTAGGCTTGAATAGTTTCACTAATAGGCTAACTCCTTTTAGTGCATCTTGAATGTAACAATAATATTTCCCAGCATGTATTCAGGCAATTTTTAAGCAAAAATTAACCACTGGCCAGTCAAGAGAAGCAACTTTATCATCTGTCGTTGTTGTTTGTGGATGTCGCTTGTGCGTCAGATTAAGGGGCATGCCAGAAACAAGGCATTAATTCAAGGTTCTGTCTGGAACTTTTGTAAGGAAAGAAAAAACAAAATTATTAATTTCGTTAACTTTTTCAATGCGTTCAAATCTTTGTAATTAAACTCTGATTTGTCAGATTGCTTTCCACATTGCTTGTGTTTTTTATATCAATGATCAACTAATCCTCAGCAGTCATGTTGCCTTTCCACCAAGTAATGTGGCACTGATATATTGATGGACCTCTACAACAAGTTAAAGGGGCAGTGTTATGTATTTTCCAGACACATAGTGTTATAGCACAGTGAAGTAACTATGTTACCTTCAGTTGTTATAAAAATGCATATGTCAAACATAATTCAAGAAGCTATTTGACTTTGCAGTTTATCGCCTTGAAATGGGGCCTCTGTCTTTTTAAGAAGCTCCTACTCTTTCTGAAGATTTTTGATATTTGATAGGACATGTGAAAATTGTAGTTGTTGAACGCACCACGAGAAACTAAACTGGTCATCCAGATCTGAAAGCATGCCATGTTTTATCAAAGTTATCAAAAACAATCAATCATGTCTTTAGAGTTGTAAAAATTAGAACAATTCAAATGTATAACGTCAAATAGATCATTGCCAAATAGTTGTCAGTATGTTTCCGTACCTCTCCAGCAACTGGACTGATTTATGAAAACAATGGTCACAGTAACACGGTTCAGAAAGGTCTGACTCACAAAGGCAATACTTGGTAAACTCTTATATTTTATGGGTAATGAATTCAAACGGCATGTTAAAGAAATGTTAGGTCAGCTGCCAAGCTGCCGACACCCGATTGAGATCTCAGTGACCGGGGTGGTTAAGCTCCTGGTCGCCATGGAGACAACGCGATGATGGGACATAAAGAGGAAAATATGGGTTGATTGCAATCTCTATCCTTGTTTACACGATGACAATGTATCGATAAAGCGCCATTGTCCTTACACTGCGCTGTCCTTCCAGCAACAGGATCTGTTTCAAACTGCACACAACCATCTACACCAGAGAATCAACACTGGGATGATCGTTTTTCTTTTCTGTTCCTTGTTTGCATTTCTGTTGATCTATCAGGATATTTGCATCCTGTTTTCTTTGCAACCTGAGATGCTCCAACACAAAGGCTGGGTCAGGCAAATCAGGCTTTAAAAACGCTGCAGGTTTGCAGCCTGGAAGCCACACAGCAGTGGTGTAACAGTCTCTGCCTGCTACAGAAAAAACCCCACTGGTGCGCGGTCATTTCGTACCATTCTAGAGAAATAGATTGCACCTGAACTGCACAAGGAAAGAGGATAAACATATTTGAAAAATTAAAGAGATCCCTTTAAATATTCTGATTTTAATTATGAAATGTTCACGTGTCGGTTTCAACTAAACGACCAAGACCTTTCCTAACATATTAAAGAAAAAACATAAACAGAGAATGTTTGTTCTGATGTTCTGACTCAGGAGAAATGTCGGACACCTCGGTGGCAAAGCGTTCTCTAGGCAGTCCAGCTAAATATTTGGGATATTTGAAGGGATAAAGAGAAGCGGTGTTTGCTGAAAGCACCTCAAAACATTCGGATAACTAAAGTCAATTAGATGTTACAACGGGGCGACGTGGCTTAAAAATAAAATCACTGACTATTTTCATACCAGATCAGTTTACCGTTTTTTTTTTTTATTGATTTGTTTTTCTTGCTTTCTTCTCTAAAGGAGAAATTCAAAAGGAGAGATATTTTCAAAGAGTGATTTTATTTCAATCATCCCTGTTTTGATTATTTGAGTTGCACGACGGCGCATTGGGGCCGGGCTAATGGAATTTTTGTTTAATTACAAGAATACAGTCATGTTATTACCAGAATAGAGACGTGACTCTAGCAGAAAAAAAAAAAAAAGTCATACGATGACGAGAAAAGAGACTTTTTTAATGAGAAAACCGATTGGATAGAATTATCAGGATCAGACTAACCAGCTCAGTTTCTCTGGTTCTTTCTTCCAAATAGACACAGTTGTTTGAACAATTGTTTCCAAGTCCAGCTGCTGAGGGATGACTTGATGCTGATGTGGCAAAACTCTAAACATTTCTACTAAGTATCATCTTTAAAACTTGCATCAAAGTACAACTTCACAAGATGGTCCTCATTTTTGTGTCGTTCTCACAAAACTTCTGCTTCGTTCTCCTCATATTAAGATTGCATTCTCGTGATATTATGAATTTATTCTCTTAAATTAGAAAACAAAAATCAAAGCCTGACCCTAATATTGCCTCATAAAGATTGCCTGAATTCAAAGTCCAAATAAACATAAGTTGTAAAATACACTCGTCAAACAAGATGGCGGCTATGAAGCAAACCCAGGAAGTGCATTGGTGGGAAAAAAAAGAAGTCAGATTTACCAAAAATTAAATTTTCCAAAAAAAAAAAAAGTAAATAAATAAATTCGATTAGCCTATAAAACTGATCATAGTGTGAAAACCTTCTCAAATTTTCGGAGCAATCAACCCAATTATTCGAAGAAAGAAAAGTCGGATTTGGAGATGTGAAGGCTGTTTTTAGTCAGCATTACAGACGTTCAAGCAAATGCTAGTAAGCTTGGCAGTTCCAGACGAGGCCCAAACACTCTCCGTCCCTTCAAAACAAACCAACACGACAGAAAATAATCTTTAGAAGACCTGACACAGCACGAGGGAAAAGGAGGAAAATTCCTGCCTATGACCATTCCTGAAGACAAGGACGGTTTGTTTCCCTCCTTGCCAAAATCGCCAGAGGCTCGAGTCAGGGCAGAGGACAGCAGAGAGCATTTCCAATGGGCAGAGCAGGGAGTTCCCACTGAGCAATTAGAGCAAGAGGCAGATGGCATGTGGCCAGTTTGTCCCACAAATTAATTTTGCTTGGCAACGGCACAATGGCCATGCTTTCTGAGGCCGGAGTTAGCTAACATGTAGGAGAAAAGACAAATGTGCCATCATTGGGATTTAGGACCAGGTCAGTCTGTTGGAGGCGACGCAGAATTGAGTCATACAAATGTGTGTGTGTGTGTGTGTGTGTGTGTGTGTGTGTGTGTGTTAGTGGAGACAGGCTCTGTCAAACCGTGTGAGTGTGTGGCTTTCTGCTCGACTGCTTTAGCCCCATGCCGGTTCCTGTAGCATGCTGGCTTTTGGGACTTTGCCCCCTTTTCCAGCCCGGTCATTAATTCACACTGTGCCACTGCTAATCTGCCAGCACCGGTTTATATGCCCCGGTGTTTCCTCAGCAGACGGTTGTCAGATAATCCACCTGTCTTCATCTGGATGCCATAAAACACTGGGAGGAGCCCACGTACCGGAGGGGGCAGTCGGAGCTGCCGGGGCGACGCCGGCGGCGGTGACTTGATCCCCAGGTGTTGGTTTTGTGGCGAAGCTGCGTTTATGTGTGTGAATGCAGTGTGTGCAGCCGAGAGTGGGATATGTGTGGGTTTCTCCTCGCAGAAGGCCTTATTTGGCTCATGTTTGACCAGTTACCTCCTCTCGAGTCCCAGAGGAGCTCTTGTTTCCGTCTGGCCTTGTAGGGCCATCCTCCCTTCTTACACACACCCACTGGGAGCCTATTGGACTGCCCTGACACACACACTCTCTCTCACATATCGACATCTTGAGAAGAAAAACCGCAAGAATTAAAGTCTTAATTTTCAGCCTCTGTGTCTGTCTTCTTGGGATCCTTTGTGCTAAAACGTAAAACAAAACACGATGATTTGCTTTAGAAGAGATTCGATCTGAAGCCACGTCAATCCGGAGACAGTTTCACTTTCTTTTGGCTGAAGAGTTGCACTTTGTTCCTCCTTTCAGGTTAGAGTTAGGGTTAGGAGAGGCCTGCTGTCTTTATTGTAACAGGACAGATATTTAGCAGAAGAGGCAAACGGGATGAGTGGATGGAACAGACAGGCTGTTGGCAGAAATGCCTGTCGAAAAGGTTCACACCTACACGAAAAACCCAGACAGGAAGAGAAATATTCAACTGCCTCCACATTAAGGAAATGTGTGCGGGTTATTTTTTAAAATTACCTTTCCGGAGTCAAACTAAATCAGATGTATTAGTAAAGCACGTTTCAGCAGCAAAGTGCTGTACATGGTACAAGCATAACACAATTAATAAACGTGATGAGGACATAAAACAAACACACAAGCAACAAATATTACATTATCTAAAACATCATCATCAAAATCATCCAAAAAGTACTGCAGAATATTGAAATGAAGACTAGATGTAAGCAATGCTCCAGTTATTATTGCTCAAGGTCAACTAAGAAAATCGATTCTAGCCTTTTTTTTAGCCTTAAAAATGGTTTTAAAGGCTTGTTCCAGATTAATGATGCATAAAAACATAATGCTGCTCCTTTACGTTTGGTTCTGGTTCTGGGTACGCGGAGCAGACCAGAACGTGCTCCATCTTCCTGGTTTTAGTCAGAACTCCAGCAGCAGCTGCGTTCTGGATCAGCTGCAGCTGGAGGATTGATTTGATTTGTTGTTGTTTTTTTTTGAGGACACTGTTGCAGTAATAGATGCGACTAAAGATAAACGCATGGTGCCACATTTTCTTTCTCAAGATCTTGTTGGAACTTTGATTCTTTAATTCTGGGAATGTTCTTCAGGTGACAGAAGGCCGACTTTGTAACTGTCCTTATGTGACTCTGAATGTTCAGGTCAGAGTTCATCACTAAATATTAACATATGTGACTTCAGTCGCAAAGAAAATAGTGCAACGTTTTCTTTGTTGCTAACAACTATGTGGAAAATACTAAAAACTTTATTTCTTGTGTTTTAATTACATTCCTTAGTGACATTTTGACTGTAGGTAGATTAATTTCCCTTTTGGGTTTTCTTTGCAAATAAAATCCAGTGTGTCTACCTACCGCTAGTAATGCTTACTTATCTTCACCCACTTTTCAGGAACAACGTGGTAACCTAGCAACAGAGCAACTTCCTTAGCTCTGTTTATCTCATCGTAGACGTTTCCTCCTCTCTGCAGCAGACTGGTGACAGAGTGGTGAACCCTGCGCTTCCTCCTAATTTTACAACTAATAACTGACAGCTTCCTTCTTTCTCTCTCTCTTTTTTTTCATCTCCGCCCCCAAACGCAGATTAAAAAGCAGCAGCAGGACGTGATGGGCTTCCTGGCGGCCAATAAAATCGAGTACGAGGAGTGCGACATCGCGGCCAACGAGGCCAACAGGAAGTGGATGAGGGAGAACGTACCGGAGGAGTCACGACCTGCCACTGGGAACCCTCTGCCCCCTCAGATCTTTAATGAAGAAAAATACTGCGGGGTGAGGCCGACTGGAGACGTTAAAACCACCGACACGACAGCCTTTCCTATGTTTAAGATAAATGTGAAGACAAATTTATCATAAACTGCAACTCATATTTTTATTTTTACTTATTAGTGAAGATATTAAGGAAGAAATCATTTGAGGAGGGGTTCTTTTTGGTACCTCCATACTTGTTGGGACTCTCGGTAATTATGTGCAAAGAGCCTGAAAATAGAGCCGCCGTCTTTTATGACCAGCTGTGCTGCTACGATGCATTCAAGTACATATTTTACATGTCGCAGTTTGTTTATTAGACAAACTCTCAAGTGATCTAAGCGATTTCTGTTAGCAAATATCCGTAAAAACTTTTTAAAAGAACCCATAATTACATCATAATTGGGGATTTTAGTGTTATGAAGTGATTTTATTAACTGATAAAATAGCTGTGTTTCCGTTTCAAATGTGCGCAAATTATTTTTGTCAAAATTCGGCTAATGTCGAAAAGAAAAAAAGTGCAATTGCGGTCTTTCCATTAAATAAGAAACACGATTAAAATCACACGTGAATAAAGCTGTTCATGCGACATCAGTAAAAAACACGGAGCGCCGTCAGGCTCTTATTTCCACTTCCTGTCGTCTTCTTCGTCTTTTCCACCAGTAGGAACATCCGGTTGTTGATCACGGATGCGATTCCATTGCAGTGTTGCGAAATACATTAATTTCAAAAACTACCTCATCCTGGCGCAAAAGCTTTACGTAGAAAAAAATTTAATTTATTTCCGAAATTGCCATGTTTTCAACAAATATATGGTCAATGGGAACGCAGGTACTAAAAGCAAATCTCTGGTCAGGTTTGTAGCACTGAAGCATATTGGATTTTTTTTGTTTATATGTACGTACCAAACTGGGATTTTTGTGTACTGGTACCTAATAAAAGATGGTCTTTTTTAGCGAAAACATTTCCATAAAGTTTTGCATATTACTCAGTCAGCATTAGACTGCAAACAGATTCTGTGACATCATTATCTGACCGTCTGAGCAGAAGGAAAATATATTCATGGACATGAACAGAGCTTCATTTAAGTCACATCACCAGGTAATGAAAGTAAATAGTGAATAGTTAACTTAACCACATTAACCAGAGACCAGTTCTGTGATGTTTTTGCTCATATAAAATGCTTACATAACCAGGCCAAAACAAAAACAAATGCACACATAAGTTATCTTCTGAAACAAAATGTTAAATTCAGTTTTTTCATTTCTTTATTCCTTTGCTCCGCTCAGGGATGCTGTTTAGCGACACAGCATGTCAGCACGGCGTGAACGCTGCCGCTAAAAGCATGCTGACTGTTTGCAGGAGTCCTGCGCGGCTGAAGGTGAAACTGCACTTGCAGGTTGTATTAAATGTCACAGACAAAAGAGCGGAGCGATTTCCCAGAACATCTGCAGCTGGAGGGCGTGTTTGAGTGCGTGGGAGAAAAAGGAGGGAATATAAAAGGACCGAGAAGGAGTGAGGAATCAGGAATGTGAGCGACTCTGTCCGACCAAACGGGACGTGGGGGAGTACGGGCGGCTTGCTCATGTCAGCTGTTCTCTAACCTCAGCGATTAGATTGGCTGTGAAAACTTACGCAACGTCATTCATCAAACCACAGTGGCGTGGCAGTCGCTTACAGTGTGCTGCAAAATTATGTGGAAAATTTTTCCATGTCTTACGGTCAAGAAAAGAAAACTAAAACAACTAAAACCAGGCATTGTGTAGACTGAAAGAAGTGTAAGTAGGAGCATTTAGCTTATTATGCCTTCAGTTTTTTTTAATTCATACAGTAAATTATCAAATCAAAAATATCAGAATGTTCCCTATATATTCTTCTAAAACATCTGTCCAAGGAATTCCAGCTGCCTCAAACTCATAAAAGAAAATATAATCAAACCTTATTGTGATAAAGTATAACTGTACCTAGAGATCATAAAGTACCTACAGATAAAATATGAATGAAATCAAATAGGGAGACTTTTAAATTCTGAATTTAAAAGTCTCCCAGATTTGTAGATGTGAAATAAATTAACATTTATATTTATATTACTTTTATTATTATAAAAATAATCTAAATAATTTATGTTAAATAAATTATTAGTATTTAACATAACTGTCTGAGAGACATTGGATCAGCTCAGTTTAAAAGCATGTTAGCATGGCCTAGTCAAAGTACTAGTCATACACTCTCCAACAAAGCTGCTTTTGGAAAATAATGAGCAAAACCTTCATATACACTTAACTACTTGTAGCTATAACTGCGCCAAAATGTCCTTCTACATAGTGTTGGCTGAACAGAAACATGCCACACATTTCAGATTTTTGTTTTTCCCCAATTATATGCTACTTTGTGTTAGCTGATCACATACAATCTCAATAAAAAGAATACCCTTTCAAGGCGCTGTGCATTTTGAAACATTCCATTTCAGAGGATGCTGTTTAGATATAGATGAGTTGATAACCATAACCCTGAACCGACTGAACTGTTGCTGCTTCTCTTTTTTTTTTTTTTTTTTTTTTTTACTCCAGAACTATGAGGCCTTCTTCGACGCCAGAGAGGACAACGCTGTGTATGCATTTCTGGGTCTGACTGCTCCTCCAGGTTCGAAGGTGAGCTCATAAAACAAAAACACATCTTTCTGCGAATAGGCAGTGCTGCAGTATAACCACACAGAACATCTCTAAATAAAACTGTGTTAATTTCAGCTCAGAAAACACGTTTATAATTACCACACAATTCATCTGTCCAACAAACCGCATCCTCACCCCACAGTATCTTCTCTCTTGCTCACTGGCACCTCCTGTCGGCCGCAGCAGGAACTGCAGGCGTGCCGGTTGCCGTAGAAACAGAGCCGTCCTCTACAGCAGATCTTTAAACCGATATCCTCCATTTTAGTGTAACATACCCTTCCTCTTCTTCTGTCTCCCTCCTTGTTTGTCACCAGGAAGCAGAGGCTCAAGCGAAGAAGGCGCAGCAGTAGCATTTCTATCACCGTTTCTACCTTAAACCTCAGGCCTTCCCAAGACCCGGACTGACCCAGAACCGACCCGGAAGAAAAAAAACTAAACAAAAAACAAAGAGAAACAACTCACCACTCGGTTTATAAGCGCACGGACCGATCGTTCATTCTTACCTTTACTCAGTGTGTTTTCTTATATTTCCGCCGTGCCTTCCCAGCAGCAGGTAAAAGCACGGAGCACTCCGGTTAGCCTCAGCCTGCTAAACCTGTTAGCCTAATGCCCATCTACCATCAGTATGAATGTGAAAACCACGTCACCAGACACAAACGAAGGTCTGAAAGTAATGTAACTGAGATCCAGGGTACCAACAATGTCATCGTTAAATATTAGCACATAATAATCATTTACACCACCAATCCTGGAAACACCTAATCCAATATTTAGCACTCGACAGTCATTAAAACATCAGCTGCTTTCTGGACAAATGGTCTGTTAGCCTCTATTTTTACTTACTTGGTATTGTCTTAATGCTAGGTTATTAGCAATCTTTTTTTATTATTATTATTTCAATGTTTAAGGATACCTGCCAAATGGCCAAATGAGGGATTGTTTTTTTTAATTATTATTATGTGTCTGTATTTTTAAGAAAGCTGCAGTTGGAATCATATTTCCCGTTGTGTTTCTTATTTCTGTATAATGCCCCCGAACTTAAATAAAACACACGACTGTTGGTCAATCAGTAATGTATATTTTCAACTTTTTTCTGACACTTTTCTATATTTTGCGCACAACAAATAATTTCCAGGGGTTTAGAATGTATTTTTTTGTTTTTACTAAAATTATTTTGTTTCTCACATCATAAATTCTCAATGAATATCCTTTCTAGCAATCTAAATGTATATCCTTCAGTGACTAAATGAAAATACATTTTTGTAAATGTTATGCAAATTCAAAAAGTAAGCTACAGAACATTCAAGCATTTTTATGGGATAAAATTACACTAAAGGCATTTTGAGAAATCTGACCTTTCATTTGAGTACATAAACATCAGCTGTAACTCATATCATCCAAATATCTTCAAAGAGTCGTTCTGGATGTTGAAGGAAGGATCTCTGAAGCAGTCAGTCTTGCAACAAATGGGAAAGAACCTCTGACTGAAGACAGTATATGAATGTCATAACATGCTAAATCTGGGCAGCAGAGATTATATTTCATAGCAGCAGGGTTAGGTTTAGTTCTAGAAGTGTTAATTCTAGAAGCGCACTGAAGATGCAACACACAATGAACATGTAGAAAAGCAACTCTTGCCCTGAGCATCACAGTATTTGTTATTTTTTGAGCCATTACACTGCGTCCTATGAGTGGTGATCAACATATTACACATAATGCTAATTCTTAATGATTCAAAGGAAGAAAACAAAGAGTAAAGAGAGCTGAATTCTTGCTACATTTTTAGATGTTTATAAGAAAATTCAAAATTGTGCTTACGTTTTTTTTTTCTTTACAGTTTCGTACTAATTTGTGTTGGACTACGACAAAAACCGACAATAAAACACTAAAGTTTGTGGTTATAATGTGACAAAAATGGATACTTTTCCAAGACATTGTAATCTGCTTCAGCTTAATGTAATTGAACAAACTGCTCTAACAAGTACATCATCCAAGAAAACCTAGTCAGGAGGAAGACTGACTAATCAGCTGTATCCAGCTGAGGTCTTGTGACAATAATTAGTGGAAACAGCAGAAAGATTTACATGAGACATGTTCTTTGAAAAATGAAGAATGGGAACCAAATCCAAAAACCTTAATTTTGACATTTGAAACAAAGCTAAAATGTACCTTTACAGTGGGGAAATAATTATCGGATCCCCTGATGAATCTTTAAGTTTCCTCACATACAAAAAGTAAATAAAAATCAATCTCATATTTTATTTCTTTGGTTAAAATTCAGAATCTACATACAAAATAATCAAAAATAAATTCTTGCATTGCAAATATATAAACTAGTTTTCATGTCACTGAATTAAATAAGTATTTGTCTCCCATGTCAACAACGTGGCACACAGATTAATTTACCAAGGAAAGATACTTCTGCTTTCCACTCATCATGTGTGAATCATCTTTTCAACTCCAACCTCTTCTTTGTTTCTGAGTAATAATAATTAAAAAAAACAGTCAAAGTAGGTCGGTGACTAAATAGTGGTGATCTAATAGAACTGCAGTGATCTAAAGACTTCTAGCTACAGCTAACAGCTGTTTTGTGATGACTTTGAAAAGCATGACATATAACGGACTTGTGAGAAATTGCCTCATGGGGTAAAGATGATCATGAAAATGGTGCCTAAAGCTATGACACACACTTAACTTAGAGGTGTCTGCAGATCTTGATCGTGTATTTAGGAGGTAATTCAGTCAATTTATTGAGATGTGTTGGACGTGGGATGCTATTAAAGTTGTAGGACATCAAGGACTGGAGTTGAGACATCAGATCAAAATCAGTCTGTCAGAAGCAAGGACACCATATCTCGCCTCCAGTCCCTCTCACCACCAGCATCAAAGACACAACGACAAAGATGGATGGGATCAAACCGGTGACCCACTGATAACAGGACAAACTCCTACCGCCGTCGCCACCAATGCCCTGGCCTTGAGGAAGCGGCACCAAGCTCTTTGGCATTGACCCAACACACTGACATTAGGTAAATATCTCCAGTAAAACACGGAGGTGTAAGATTTACATTTGAAACAGGTTTTCTGCGACGAGTAGAGGATAGTTTTACCATACTGATGGGCCAATGTGCCTTCAAACTTTGAGCGAGAACCTTCTTCTCTCAGTCAGAATGTTAAAGGTTTGTGGAAAAGACTTCTAGCATTTTAGTGATCCGAGGAGCAGCACTAAGGCAGCAAACCATTGGGCAAAGAAGTTCATTGAGATCATGGGGTGACCTCCCAGTCTTCAGCTGACTGGAGATGGAGCTGAAGCTTTAAGCCAAGAAAGAAGCCAGTTCCTGTACAGAGCGGGGAATCTCTCTTGAAGAGGACAAACTAGCTATCTTTGTCTCCATTCCTGCTTAAGTGCAAATGTACTGATCTTATTTTATTTTATTTTATTTTTTTACTCTGTGATGTTTGGCGAGATATTAATAACGGAAGTGAGAGGTGGGGGCTGACTGTTCTCAAATGCAGAAGTGAAACAGGGCAAAAGAGCTGCATCATTACACTTGCGACGTAACACCGCCATTAAGATTTGAAATTGTTGCTTGAAATAAGCCGAAAGGACGGTGCAGAAGAGAGGATATTCCTGGAGTCATGCTGGCTGAAGGTTTTCTCAGATTAATGTGCTACAGGGAGGAGAGGAAGTTCGCCACAGCTTCCAAAAGGAAAGGATATCAGACGAGCACGCGATGCGCCGACCCGCTCAGCTGTGCTGTCTCCGAGCCGAACTTTGTCAACCCACAGATACATTTAGCCGAAGAAGGTGAGTAGACTCGTTACTACGGTTTCCTAGCAGCATTGTTGGAAGAAGAATCCAGCAATCTAAAAACAGACTACACCGCTTTCATCTTGTGTTACTTTATCTTCTAGTTGCACTGCTTCAGTAGGTCTGTGGTGCTTCCTCTTTTGCCAGATAAGATCTTCCCAACACACACTAGCGGTTTTAAGTTGCTTCTGGCAATATCCACGGCCTCCTTACTTTTAAACTGCACATCTCTCTAAATTTAAGGCACCGAAAGCTTAACATTTGAAATTTGGTAAGTACAGGTTAAGGGAAAATGAATGCTACACTGGAATCATTCACTGTGTTTTCTGTGATCAGAGTCAAACCAGGAAGAGCTGGACCCCAACAAACCCCAGGGACTGAGAGTGGTCTCTGAGCCTCCAGGCCTCCTGATTCCTGGGTGTTCACCGGCAGCCGCCCTGCCACCCATCTGCGTTGAAGACTGCAGCCTCCTGGAGCATTACCCAGACCTGCAGGTGGCCGACTCGGGCCGCATCTCACACAACCTCCCCAGAACCGTAGCCAACCAAGAGGACTTTCACTTTCAGCCTAACGTACCAGAGGCGTATCTCCAAACGGAGGCCAAACCGGAGTCCATCCCAGACCAGGGGTACCTGGTGATGGGGGCGAGCGAAAACATCAGCTTGGATCTGCCCGGCTTGGAGCCCATGTCCAACTCTGTGTTGAATGGGCTGCTGGAGAAACAGCTGGAGGAGGTTTACATGCAACACCTGACCGACAACTTAGCCCGATGCGACTCCCACTTCGGACACAGCCTTCTGCACGGCCTGGGTCCGCCACCGCAGCCCGGATGCCAGTCGCACGGGCCGTACTCACTGGAGGCCAGTCTAGAGGAAGGATCCAGGGGGGACAGTGGCGATAAAATTAGCTATCTGAACACCCACAACTTGGTGCCCTGCTCATCTACCTTCAGCTCTCCTATGCTGAGGATTTCAGAGGTGGACAATCCTCAGCTTCAAGGGAACAATCCATCAAAGTAATAAAAGTCATGATACACAATTTCTTTTTAATATTTGTGCCTGACATTCAATTTTTTAAACCCCTACGCTGTATGTAAAGGGATTGTATCAGTGTGTTTTATGATGCAAAGCCTTTTTCTTGCCCACTGAAATGACGCCTGGATCAGAGCAGCTTCCATACGCCATCTGCTGTTTGATTCTGGTATTACATCTATGTCAACTTACAAGACATTGAATGAATTGAATTTCACAGGCATTGCTAAATTAAATTAGGATATATTTCAGTCAGTTGTTGCTTGCTGTTTTTATACATGAATAAATCATCACTTTTTTCAACTTTATCTTAGTAGCCGCACATATTTTGCTGACTGAAATTATTTATACACCAAAAAGATGGCTATTTGGGGAAAAATTGTGGTTGAGAACAAGAAAGTATAAAGGAAGTCGCTCACTAATTCAATATCATAGATCAACACACTGAGCTCATGTTTACATGTGGGATCACATTATTATTACAAACTTCAAAAAGTACATGTAAAGTACAGCATGCCTTTTTTGACAGCATGTTTTACTCTGATAACATCCAGAGCAATTAAACTGACTCCACATGTTGACTATTTAGTCAATTAAGTCCACCTGAGTGTAATTTGATCACATTTTGAGTACCGCTTTTCTGTGGAGGCCTCAGGGGTTTAGATGTGTGAGATAGGCCGTTTTGAAGTTAAGGATTGAGTGAATAAACAGATTTACAAGGACAGGTAGTTACCAGGTAGTTCAGGGAGAAAATTAGGCTGTAAAACAAGATGAGTTTACATTTTAATCCATTATCTGTAACAAAAAAAGACTACAGCTTAGCTGCAACCCTACCAACACATTAGTCTTCTAGTAAAGACACTGCTTCCTATGGAAGATGCATAAAAACAACCTTTAAGAACAGTTGTGTACTTCAGATGTTGTTTTATCAATCAAATCAAAGTAGTTTTTACCTGTAAGTTGACAAATGACATCAATGTGAAAAGGTGTTCCATATTATTTGAGTTTAAGGATTCCTCATCAAATTACAGTGAAAGGTATTTATACTCTTTTTTAACAGTTTTAATGGGTTTTATTGCTGCGTTCAGGGTCAACCAGCCCTTTGAGGACATTTATGATCTTGATATGCCACAAATTGAAAATGAGTTTGACGTTCCTGTTGTTGATGATCTTCACCCAATCTGACTGAGCTCAAAAAGAGGAATGAGTGAAAAACTCAATTTCCAGAAGTTAAAGGGGCGGCATGATGTAAAATCAACTTGCTTCTCATCATGTTAAAGTGCTCCTTCAGACTAGCTACCAGCAATCAGAAGACACCAGCAGAGCTCATTTTGTACCTAGTTCTCAGAGCAACGCTGGTGAAAACGTCATTAAAGGGTTAATAGAGGAGCCATGTTGTGATAACTTCCTGAAGGCGGAGTTTCAGAAAGAGCAGAAGCTTCTTAAAGAGACAGAGGCCCAACTTCAAGGCGTTAAATATCGAAGTAAAATTTCTTTTAAGTCATGTTTGATATAAATAGTATTTTTTATAACAACTGAAATTGCCATAGTTACTTGATTGTGTTATAAAAATGTATTATAAGCTGGTAGAGACAAACTTCACAGTGCTGACTCAGGGATATTCAAAAATTATGAAAAAAAGAGGTTGAAAACTAATTAAAACCAGTAAAAAGCTGGTTCTAAAGAGTAAAGCTATCAAATTGCTCCTTTTATATCCACTTCAGTGTGTTTTCTCTCTATTGTGTGATGCAACATAAGTGGCTTTTTGGGGTTATCCTGGTATCTTCCTGCTCATCAGAAACATTCAAATCTGAACCACACCAACAGCTCCAATCAGCTGGTTTGAAATTGTAAATGCAAAGCTCTTCTCAGACTCATGAAATCAAACTAAATCTCTCCGAAGCCTCGAACGGTGCATGATTAGAGTGGGCTACAGAAAAAAAGGGAGTTGTGTTCACTGAAACCTGGCGGGCTCCACTTCCAGCCAGCCAGCTTGAATCAAAGCTACCTGCAGAGGACCGTGAGGCACGCCGCACAACCAGGAGAGCAATTATACCAAGACTTACCGCGGATTCGACTGCTTAAGTTAGATTTGTAACCCGCGAAGCCTAAAATCCTCACAGCCAAGTTCTCTGCAGTCAAGGAGACGGCGATCCATTAGCATGCAGCTACACTATTAAAGCCTGAGGCGCTTTACTCCACTGCGCTCAGAGATGGAAAACAGAGATTCGACAAGGTTTCGCCTGTAATTAATGGATTAGACGTGTCTAATCGTGCAACGTCTCTCCAGAGATTGTGGCAGGTAAATCTGTGGTAATCTAAAAATTAAATTCAAAGACAAAGAGTGAGATAATGTTCCCCCCTGGGGGACAAGAGGGAGGAAATCAAGCAAGAGCAAAACAAGTTTTATAGAACAGTGAGAACACGAGGAACTGGTTTGAATTTAGCAGAAGCTCACTTGGCTGCTGTTTTCATCAACTTGTGCTCGCAGGGATGTTTTCAATGGCACACAGTGGCTTAGAAAAGAAGTTATAAATACTTTCTTATCACTTTTATTGTTATCCCAATAAATACCACAAAATACTGTGCTAACATTTTATGGTCAATGTAAATAAAAACCCTGAATGCTCTTCTCTCCACTCCACAATTATGTACCACTTTTTGTAAATTACAGCTAAAAAATATGCAACTTTCCATCTCAATGTCCTGCTTTTAAATGAATGTTGTTGTTTTTTTCTAGTAAATATTAAGTGGAGTATCTTCACTTGTTGGATCTCAGCACCTTGACACTCTGACAAAGATCCAGACTGCTGGGTAGAACATGTTTAAAAATAAAATAATAAAATAAAATAAAATAAAATAATTATTTCTACATAAGACGTCACCATCCCTGTTGGATGAAATCCCAGTCTTTGGGTTTTGGCTTTTTTGGGGAAATAACCTCCCTGTCCTCTGAATCATTTGCTGTTGTAACTCAGGCGAAGCTCTTGCTAATCAACAGGCTGTGACTGCAGAGAACACAGTTAAAACTGCACCGATGGGACAGAAACAAAACAGAGAGACTGTGCACACAGCAGAAGCAGCACCTGCGCTCTGAGCTGTTGGACCGACGTCGCTGCCAGCTCAGGGATTCCTGTGCACATTAGCGTCTGCAGTTTTGGTGAAAGTACACGAGTCGCTGGCCCACCCTCTGTCTCTCTGATCCCTGTCCTATTCTCTGCCTCTCTCCTGTTGTTCCAGCATGTCTGCAGGATGGCAGCACTTTGGCCTCTCCCTCTGCTGCTCTCCCAGCATCTCTGGGCCTGTTTGGCCCTGACCCTCCCGGATGAGCCTCACGACGGGCCCCCGTCGGTGGGCTTCGACGCCAGCCACGTCGGCCCATCTGTGGATCTGCCCGGTGCTCTGAGGGTGTTCAGCTTGGACTACCACCACGTGCAGGCCCCCTTTGAGATTGTGCTGTGGATAATGCTGGCCTCACTGGCCAAGCTGGGTAAGGCCGACAGCAGCGCCTCTGTGACGGACTGTTGAAAACGGGGTGAGGGGGGAAAAACAAAAGAAAAACTCTCTCAAATTCAAGGTGAGAAATGTGAAAGGTGGGGAATATTATCAAATGTCCATAAGATGGCAGATTTGGATGTATGGTGCCAATTCACAACAAATGTCATCTCCAATCATTTCAGTTCATCTGTACATTCCAATTGATCCCAGTTAAACAACAAAACATTTAAAACTCACATAGAAACAACAATTTAACATTATTTTGGTAAATATTGGGTATTTGATCAAGAGTGCATTTAAAGGACTTTGAACTGCCTTGTTCCTGAAATGTGCTATGCAAATAAACTTGATTTATTTATTGATTAGTCATCAGAGCATTGTATAACTGAAAAACTTTGGCAATTTGGCCAAAGCAGCCAAATTACTGAAATTCTGTTAAAATTTCACAACATTCATCAAGAACTACAGTAAAATCAGGCCAGAGTCTCTCCAGGTTTCAGATAAAGGAGAAAAGGAGCGGTCCAATGTTTACCAAATGAAGAATCTATAGACCTACAGCACAGACTGCTGAGAAAGCATGTTTGGAACCTGGCAGATTTCCTCCGTTTTTATCCCTTAAATGTTACATCTAAATTTTAATGCCAGATGGAAATAACCAAAGTAAAAACAAGAAGGAGAAAGCTATCCAAGCCAACCACATCTGAAATAGAAAATGTTAAGTTACCTCCGAAACGTATTGCCTATTTCAGGTCACAATTGGATTTAACTAGTCCACTCAAAAACATTCATTTAGGTGGTTTCTTTATTAATTTCAGCCATTTAGAGGCGGACTTTCTGTTTTTGGATCATTTTTTTGTTGCAAAGTCCACACCTGATAAAAGTCACAAATTATTCTCCCTCAACAATCTTGTGGATAGATTTACCAGAGTATCGCCGACGTTCCTAATTTTTTCTGTCTGTGTCCCCTGGTTTCCCTAGATAGAAATTTTTTTTATTAATTTGAATAATAAACTGAGCTGATAACTAGGATTAACTTAAGTCAGTCTATCCCAGCCTTTCATTACAAAACCATACCCTGTCACATGAGACCTTGTGACTTGATAGCCCAAATCAGTCAAAGTGTAGTTTAACAAATCCTCTGAGTAAATCAAACTTTTTAAACTTCACAGTTTTATTGTTATTTTACAACTAAACCACAAAATAACTTTGCTATTGGTGATATAGAAAGTCAGAGTAATCTGCTGACCCATCTGACTTTCCCCTCTTGGTGTCATCTTCTCAGGTTTCCACTGGTCCGGTCGAGTCCCAGCTGTTGTCCCAGAGAGTTGCGTCCTCATCATGGTGGGCCTGCTTGTGGGAGGGGTGATCTACGGGGTCCGCCACTCTGCTCCCCCTACTCTCAGTGCCGACGCGTTCTTCCTCTTCCTGCTCCCACCCATTGTTCTAGATGCAGGTTACTTCCTGCCTGGGAGGCTGTTCTTTGAAAACCTTGGTACCATCCTCTGGTTCGTACCTCGACTGCTTAGCTTGTGATTAGTAATCACAAGCTTACTAATCACACGTAAGCTTGTGATTAGATTTGAATAAAATTGTTAACATGTTACCCAAGATGTAACTTACAAAGGCCACGAACAGGAGAGAAGAAGACCTTCCTGTTGCTCCACCTGCAGGTATGCGGTGCTGGGAACCCTATGGAACGTGGTGGGCATTGGCCTGTCTCTGTACGGTGTTTGCCTGCTGGTTCCAGACTCTCTGGGTGACATCTCTCTGCTCCACTGCCTGTTGTTTGGCTCATTGATCGCTGCCGTCGACCCCGTGGCCGTGCTCTCCGTCTTCCAAGAGATGCACGTCAATGAACAGCTGCACATTTTGGTGTTTGGAGAGTCGCTGCTCAACGACGCTGTCACAGTGGTCAGTGGTGTTTCCAGACACGTTTTTTTTTTTCTACATGTAGAACCTACTGAAGTGCACTTCTCCACCTCTTAGGTGCTCTACAAGCTCTTTGAGTCCTTTCTGCGGCTGCCTTCAGTGACTGGACTGGATGTACTGGTGGGAGGTTGCAGGCTGATAGTGGTGGGTTTGGGAGGCTTCTTTGTGGGACTGTTCTTTGGCTTGGTGGCAGCTCTCACCTCACGGTTCACCTCCAGAGCCCAGGTCATCGCTCCCCTCTTTGTCTTCCTGTATTCCTACCTGTCCTACCTGACTTCAGAAATGCTTCATTTCTCAGGAATCACGGCGTGAGTATTGATGTCTGTCATCTCAACCCTTTCTAAAGGCTATACTATATCATGATGCGAATTTAAGGATTTTTTTTTTAGATGGGATGTTGGCTGAAGGAGGGGATGGACAGGCTGGATGAATTGGATGATTGATGAGTCATCTGTAGAGAGACATGAATGGAGACTCAGTGTGGGGTACAGTCCTCTCCAGACCCTGTTAAGGACCTCCAAGATGGAACCTGAAACAGAGAGAGGTTAGGAGGAAATCTGGAGGAAGGGATGAGGTTGAAGGCAAGGGACAAGGTGATGGAGAAAGAGATGAAAGGATGGAGCAAGGGATGAAGGAGGGACCAAAGTATGACACAAGGGATAAGGTGATGGATCAAGGGATGAAGGGTAGAGCAAGGGCAGAAGATAGAGGAAGGGATGAAGGATTGAGGAAGGGCAGAAGATAGAGGAAGGGATGAAGGATTGAGGAATGAGGGGGTAATGAGGGGGCCCTGACTCACCCACTCAGGTCGGGTGAGTGAGGGCAGGTGTTGAAAGAGCATTATGGCAGTGGAGTGGATTGAGTGTACTGGTGAATTGAGTTATAGACGGGTCACTAGAGGGGAGTTTGAAGTTTGGTCCTGCTCCTGAACCTGCCATATTAACTAGTAGTTAATAGTATTGTTTTTCCCCAATCCTCCAGCATTGTGACCTGCGCTGTGACCATGAAACAGTACGTGGAGGCTAACGTGTCAGAGCGCAGCAACACCAGCATCCAGTACTTCCTGAAGATGTGGAGTAGCGTGAGTGAGACCTTGATCTTTGTCTTCCTCGGTGTGTCCACCATACAAGACATACACATGTGGAGCTGGCCCTTCGTCTGCTCCACCCTGCTGCTCTGCCTCGTCTGGAGGGCCACAGGTATTTCTTACGTATGAAATCACTTCAGTCTTTAAAGAACGTCTCTTGCTCAAACATCATCCCTATGCGTAAGGCGTTCTCCTGCTCACCGCTGTGGTGAACAAGCTTCGGAGGAATGCCGTGACCTTCAGAGACCAGTTCATCATCGCCTACGGTGGCCTGAGAGGAGCAATCTGCTTTTCTCTGGTCTTCCTCATTGATGACTTCCCAAAGAAGAGGCTCTTCATCACGACCACCATCGTGGTCATTCTCTTTACCGTCTTTGTGCAGGTGAGAAATAAATGTAGTGTATATCACAACAGCTCAAGAAATAGAAGGGGTGATTTTAGATTTTTACCCACCCATTAGGGGATGACCATCAAGCCTCTGGTGGAGCTGCTGGACGTGAAGAGGAAGAAGAGAGCTCTGCCTACAGTCAGTGAGGAGATCCACAGCAGGGTGAGACTTCTTAGCTGCTTAGCTGCAGTTTCCATCTGCAGCCATTTTCACACCTTACACAGATTCTCAGATGCACAACACATGAATGTCCTTTGACCTAATCCACTCCATTGCAGCTCTGGGTGTTAAAGCTCATTGCAACAACCGGAGAAAAACCTTCTCCCTAACTCAAATCTATTGCAGCCTTTAATACAGGGGTGCCCAGGTTTATCGCACCTGGATCCAATGATAGCTTAGAGGCCTTAGAAGAACATTGAAAAGATTGTTACTACCACCAGGGAGAGAACTAAAACATGCAGAATGTCGGCCCTCAAGGACCCACTTTGGGAACCACTGCTTTAACAGGTTTCCTTTCAGTACCGTTCCTTACTTGGCTTCTTCCGTCTTCACATCAGTTCTGATCAGTTCCATCTGTATCAGCTGACGCAGAGCATCCTCACAGCATGATGCTGCCGTCTCCTTGTTTTACCATGGAGTATTTTGTTCACATCTGCCAAAAACTTTAATTTTGGCTTCTTATCAATGCCTTCCTTCATGCCACTTTTCTATAACGGTGGTATTTGTTTAGCATATGAGTGATAGCAGCCTTGTCAACAGATTGTCCCACCTGAGCTATAGATCTCTGCGGCTCTTCCAGAGTTACTATGGGCCAGCTGACTGCGTCTCTTGTTGTCCTGTCTTTGCCTTTAACAGGTAGCAGTTCTTTTAGGGTTTGGGTTAGGCTTCATGACACACTACTTTTCCATTAATAGAAAGTACTCATAGACCCGTCTGTGTGTTGTGTGTGTCTGCTCTACCCTCTGAGACAGATTTGGCTGGATGTTTGTTCCTGGTAAAAAGGAATCATTCATTCATGCTATCACATATTGCTCACCCAAGAGGAAGGATTTCTGCATAGTCAGTGTCTCTATGAAACTGATTTGTCTTCATTAGACAAAGATTTTATCATATTTCTGAATATAAAGTTATTATTTTTTGTCTTAAAATGTACTTTAAGATTGCCTTTGTTTTGAATAAGTACAATATAATTCAAAGGAAATTAATTAAACTAATTAAAATGCTTGTTAACTGACCAGGAAAACCATGTTTAGTCAAACGTTAAGATGAGTGTGTGAAAGTTTGAGCAAAGGCAGATTTTAATAATAATAAGTATGATGTATGGAAATGAAGATAAAACGTCTGCTTTTAGCTCTTAGACCATCTGCTGTCAGGAATAGAAGATGTGGTTGGCTATTGGGGGCAACATTACTGGAAAGACAGGTTAGTTTATCTCATTCCTCCCCCCCCCCCCTTTTTTTTTTTACCCTGGAGAGCTGTTTATTTTTTATCATGTGACGCAAAACAACCACTAGGTGGCAGCAAATAATTCATAACATGGAACTTTTTCCATCTGTGGTTTGTGTTTGTGAGGTTTGAGCAATTCAACAAGAAGTACCTTCGACGTTTCCTCATCGGTGAGCATCACCGGGCTCGCTCCAGCATCCTGAGAGTCTACCAGGAGCTGGAGAGGAGGGAGCAGCAGGGGGACGAGGAGGCCCCACCGCTGTAAGAGGACAGAACTGCAGAACCCACCCAATACTCCTACAGGAGATCAGGAAACTGATCTATTAAGGAATCCTGGTGTAAACCAAGATCTAGGAGAAAAATCTAACAAAAACAAAACAAACAAAAAAAACTGATCCAAGCCTTTTCTTTAAACTGACCTGGTCTGACACTGTGGACCCTATTAGGATACATTTGAACTGCTAACATCTGAACAACTTTTCTGGTTTTTAAGTATTTCACTGAACAAGTTTAAATTTTACCCTCATGAGGCAAATTTACAATCACTATGGTATTCATGGCCATCATTGGTGTTATCATCTAACAGAAACCAAACATCCCCATTTTCACATAAAACCCCAATTGTGCCTGAATTGAACGTTCACGCCTTTCCTTTCAGAGTGGACCCCCGCCCTGGCGGCCGTCCCCTCCTGCCGGAGGAAATGGACAGCATCAGGCGTATTCTGTCCAGAAACCTTCAAAACTTTAACAAGAAGGTAGATCACAAACCCTCCTCTGAGGTTCCTCGTTGCGTCCAGCCAGTAGAGGGAATAAACGTGACAGTGTGTGAAATCTGACCGCAGCAGACTCCAGCCTACAGTAGACACACCTTGCACCAAGACGCCATGGCGATGACGGCCCTGCACAGACATCAGAGTCTTCCAGAGAGACACACCTGCAACAGAAGCACGCTCTGCCCACAGGTAACCAGAAAAAAAAAAAAAAACACATCCAGAGAGGTTTCTAAGAGAAGCCGTTTCAGTTTCAGAGTGCTTTATATATCTGTTTATGTGTAAAAATGACATTTAAACACGATTAAATTAGACCATCAATTTAATGGTCTAAAGAATTAAAGTTTGATTTAATTATTTTTTAATTAAATCGATTTAATTTGAAATAATTTGTGATGGCAATTTATTTAGAAATTAGGAGAATTTGAAAATCAATCGGTTTATGTGTAACAAGGCAGTTCAAAGTGCTTTACATCATAAAAACACAAAAATAAAGTCATAAAAACAACACCATTTGAACAACAGAAAACAAGTAACTAACATTACATTCTGACAAATGCCTTCATTAAAATCATCAGTGCACATCCAATATGTTGGTCAACAATCCATTTATTGTGGCTCAAATGCAAATGTAAAAAGGTTTTAGTCTTTATTTAAAGGAATTCTGTGTTTTTCAGCTGTTTTGGAGTTTTCTGAAAGTTTATTCCAGATTCCTGGTGCTTTATAATCTGAATGCTGCTTCTCCACGTTTGGTTCTGGTTCTTTTTCTGGGGATGCAAGCTCCATCTTTACTTCCTTTCTCTGTTATTTCCAATGTCAGCGGGCGGAAGGAGAGTTCTCCAAGTCTTATAGAGGGAGAGCGCGACTCAGCAGATCTCACACAGGTAGGTGCTGACGACATAGCGGTCAGAAACAGATGCTTAATGCATCAAAAAGTGTTGATCCTTCTTCTACTTCTATCTGAAATGTTGCACAGGATGCCGGTTTTCTTCAGAGTGATTATAAATAAACATATAATAATGAGTTTCAGCTAAAGTACATATTTTTGTAGCTCTAAAACTTTTTTTTTTTTGCATAAATCTGTCTGGATATTTGGCCACTCCACTTCATTCAAGTTGGCTAGTTTTTTTAGGTTTTCATCAGACCTGGGAGGCTTTGTTAAAGCCATTCAGAAAGCTTCATGTAAGTTTGGGAAGTTTTAATCAAATAATATTTACTGAAAGCTAATTCCTCAGAAAGGCCAAGAAATGTCAATGAATCACCAAGATTGAAGCTTGTAACCTGAGAGCTGCTAGAAGACCAGCAGAGAGGCAAATTTAACACCAACATGGACCGGAAGAGAGCTGACCTAGAAAGAATTTCATGCTCCAGAATCGACACCTTCAAGCTCTGCTGAAGATAACAGCGTTCCACATCAACAAGCCGGACGCCTGGGGAGACACGTCCTAAGGTCCAGAGAGACAAAGACTGAGAAACTCTGTGGCAAAGTAAAACCTTCAAAGTTAAGTAAAGTATGACTCCTGTGAAGATTTAAATCATCCAGCTGGCATTTAAGAAGTTCAGAATCTGGTTTGAAAATGAATCTAAAACTCCTGGGCGAGTCTGGATTATTTAGGACATTTTTACTCTGCCCGATAATCAAGCGACTGAGATAAGCACGGAAATTTGCTCTGAGTTATACGATGGTGATTTCAGGGCCTTTAAAACACAGTGTGGATTTGTTAAAACAAAAGCATGAGATTATTTCCTTTTCTGCGAGGGTGCATTCACATCTGCCGTTTAGTCCGGCTTTGGTCAAACTCCAGTTTGTTTGCCTGGAAGGTCCAGGTCGGTCGAGGTGTGAGTGCAAAACCAAACTCTGATGCAGACCAAAACAAAAAAAAAGCTAAGTCTGGTCCGCCTAAAAACTTACGACTGGGCTCAATTCCAATGTTCCAGTGTATGTGTGGATGCGAGCGGACTGGAGACCCCTTCAAGAGCAGGAAGTGAACTATAATGCAAGGCATTCTGGGTAATTACAACCAAAACAAACACAACAGTCTAGCTCTAGTGGTAGAAATGGCTCATGATCTTTTACCAAAGACTAAAGAGAAATCCTACAACCAGCGAAATCTGATGCCACTCCATTTTAGATTACATTTCGAGAAGAAGGAAGTCGCGCTCAGTTTCTTCTTCTGAGGTTTTTATGTCATTTTCTTCAGTGGTTCTTGGTGCAGCGCCGCCACAGGCCAGGAGAGGGAAGACAGCTTTTGCGAAAGGTTTGAATCATTTGACATGGTTAAGTGTGAAAGAGAACCGCACCTGCTGAAAACGGAACAAATGTTGATTCAATTTTGATCCAGTCTGGATTCATTAAAGTTCCTCCAGTTGTCCCAGTGTCTGCTCAATTGTCCTTGTGAAAAATAACTGTGATTTCTCCCCTTCTTGCAGTGTGCTCAGCAAGCCCAAGACGGTCCGAACCCCCTGACTCTGTAGACCCGACTGCTCTGAACCCGACTCAGCCATCGGATCCTGAACCTGCGGAGGAGCAGCGTTCTCCGCTGCACAGGGCGCCGATAGAGAGAGCAACAAAGAAACAACTCAGCTTTGTTCTGGAAAGTGAGACGCGTCAATAAAGGGAGAGAGTGGCTGCGTTTCCATTACAAATGTACGCAGAACTCGGCAATTGTCCGAAAAAAAACAAAAAAACAACACAATTTCTCAATTGCCGTGTTTCCATTAAATAAGAAACCCAATGAAAATCACAGGTGAATTGTTTGTTCAGACAATAAGTCATTAAAAAACACGCCGCACCAACCACTTCCTGTGGCCTTCTCCTTCGTCTTTTCCACTAGTTGTAACGTCCTGTTGTTGCTCATGATCCCTGAGATGCAAAAATAATGTTTCCATTGCGGTTTTGCGAAACACACTAATTTCACACGAAAACCCACCAACTTTTTTTATTGAAAAATGTTTTTTTTTTTTTTTCCAAATTGGCATTTTTCCAATAAGCCCATTTATTTCTGAAATGTCAAATTGCAACATGATGTGGTCGATGGAAACGCAGCTCCTGAGGAAGAAATAGGAGAGTTAATAAAGAACCGGTCACAGCGGTAGCTCTATGTAGAGCTGCTGTAAGGAGTTTATGGACACGTTCCACACAAAGATCTTGAAATGAACGACATGGTTGTATCTTCTTGAGTGTCGCAAGCAAACAATAAAGCTCTACTCATCCTTGATGACATCAGGTGGAGCTTTCAGGCTCATTTATTTCCAACGCCTCTTCATCATAAACACTAACACTCTGTCCACATTCCCCTCGCCCACGGACCCTCATCTTCGCACACTCACTGGTAATCTGACAAGGACAGACATTACTACGTCCCAAAATAACTGGTTTCCCCCCCCCCCCCCCTACCTCCCCTCGTGTTGTGAGCAGATAA